ATCAGGCTGGTACGTTACCTACTGGGCTAGCTCCTATTTCACATCAGGATAGGAGCAGCCCTCATATATGAAGGGCTATAATGCCCAGTAGGCAATCTACCTACGGCCTTGCAGGCCTTGCCTGCATGACGCCTGCATGACGCCTGCAAAACCTGCCTACCTATAGCCTAGCAGGCCTATCTTGCCTGTGGCCTTGCAGGCCTCACCGGCTGTTGGCCTAGCAGGTTCTACCTACTGCCGCTTCCTCGTGGATGGCAACCCATCCATGGCTCTGGGGCCACCCATCGGGTAGGCCTCGGCATAGGCCTGTTGGCCCTCCCCTTGGCTCGAGGTCAACTCGGCGGCCCTTCCTATTCCTCTCGGGCCGTGACCCTATACCCGGCGCATCCTTCTTTCTAGCCTACTTAGGCCCTGAATCGCGCGGCTTAGCAGCCGGGCAACATTATTTTAGATAGAATAGGTCTAACTTTAGCGTTCCCATGTCCGCGAAACATTATCATTCATATCCGTTATTCTCGGACGCTACATGCGTCCGGACTAAAGCTCGAAAACTTTTAGTTCCTCAGTCATGGGTCAGGTCTGAATAAACTTTTGGCAAACGTCGGTCTCATCAAGTCTTTTAACCCAACGAAAAGTCGGACAACATCCGACGTTTAAAATCCCCGGCGAATACCCTTGTCAAGGTATTTGCCCCGACACCGGGACCAGATTCACAGGCTACCGCCCGATACCAGGGAGTTTGCGATACAACACGAAAAAGAGCTAGCTATAGTCGTCAAGAACCTCAGGAAGGCCCAGCACAGGATGATAGAGCAAGCCAACTTAGTCTGGGTCAAGTCCAAAGAGTTTGCTCCTGAGGAAAACATCTCGCAGAAGTTACTGCCCGCGTATAGAGGACCGTGGCCAATTCTAGAAGTTAAGGGCGGAGAGGATGGACCGTCCTACACAGTCGAGATCCCAGCACACCTCCACACCTCCCCCCTATTTCATGCGTCGAAGTTGTTACCACGTGTTACAAGTCAGCAGTTTCCATCTAGAAGATCAATGATACCCCCAGACATGGAATAAAGGTATGACATTGACGGGATTGTAGGTGAAGACGTGTTCAGAACAGGAGGTAGAGATCGTCCACAGAAACAGTATAAGGTCTGGTTTGCTTATCAGGAACCAGAGGACGACTGCTGGTTTACTAGAACAGAACGTCTAGAAACAGCTCCCGACGTAGTTAGGGCCTATGAGAGAGATAGGAAAGGTAAAGGTCCTGCCTTGGACTGAGTTATTCTCGGAGGACCTCGAATTTAGGCCGGCGGGAGTGAAACGGTATTCACCTGTTTGCAGTAGCGAATGCAGATCCCAGGGCTCGATCTCTAGACTTTACCTTACCTGTGTACATTACCTGTGTCGGCCCCAGGAGTTGAACCCACAACCTGTGTCTGTTTCCACAGTTGGTAGATTGTCGTAGGTTCTGTAGATTGTAGGGGTTCGATCTGTAGACCTGTAGAATAGTGGTCTTAGGGGGTTCTAGAAGTCGTAGCTGTAGGACCTCTGAAAGGTCAAGGTCGTAGCTGCTAGTCCTGAAAGGTCAAGGTTGTAGCTGCGACAGTATCCGAAAGGCCAGGACTGAGACTTCTGGAAGGTCCTGGTACTAGCCTTTCGAAGCTGCTCACATTCAGGCTGAAGCAAGTGGGCAAGTGGTGGAGTCTACCCGTGCTGAGTCAGTGGTCCCAGTCCCAGTCAGTCCTAGTCCAGTCAAGCAACTACCGTAAGGGACTGTGTGCACCATGGGCATGGGAAAGGGCCAGACCAACAAGCTACAGAAGTATAAATCAAGAGGCAGCGCCCAGCCATTCATTCATTCCTGTGTAAGCCATGCGGAAGCGCTGCCACAGCGACTTATGCAAGGTGGTCTGCAGTGAGCCCGAAGACGAAGTGGGCGAGAAGAAGAGCTTAGCCATAGCGATAGGGTAGCAGCGGCCATAGCCGCCATAGCTGATAGAAGAGTGTGGGGTGTGTGAGTGCGTGAGTGTATAGCGTGATGCGTGTGGGATATCCAGGGTGATCCTAAGTTGAGTGCGTGTGAACAGTGGAGTTGGGTGAAGTGACGAACAGAGAGTTGTGTAGGCGCTGATGCGCCATAGCCATCTGCAGCGAACTGTATCTGAACTGTGTTCTTGGTTACTATACCTCTGAGTTCTGAGTGGGCGCCTGTCGCCAGTTTGCTGCGCAACCTGTTTGCATGCATGTGAAGTGTGGATGAAAGCGAGTCTGATTGCAGTACGGTGATTCCAATGCGCATAATTCCCTTCAATTTTGGGGTTGATCTCTTCCATATCAGTTTGGTCATCTTTGTGCGTGTATGGAAACATGGTGATGCTTTCCTGAGATGCAATTTCAACCAGCCACATAGCAACTATCAATTTTATGCTCGCTACTTCCCTGGAAAGGCCACGTGTGGGGAGGGAGGGGGGGGGGGGGGGGGGGGGGGGGCGGAGAGAGAGAGAATTCTGTGTGTCTTCCTAGGCTGAATGGCACGTATCTATGCCTGCGTGTCAGCACATCAGGGGTTCCAGCTCTTAAGAGTCTTAACCTTTTTTTTTTTTTTTTTCCGGGACAGGAATTGTCCTTCAATGAGAAGGAATAAGGGCCAGCACGCAAAAAAGAATCAGACATTTATAGGCCGGGGATACACGTACTGACCAAAAATAGGTGCACACTCTCTCATCCATTCACAGTTGCTTTTCGATCCACATTCATCACTGTCATATTGGCAACAAGGATCCGATGGGTCACAATTTAGTGGTTGGCAGGTCTCCTCCATTCTGCACATAGAGAGGCCTGTGCTGATATCCTTCACGGAATCACAAGCTTTGGTTTCGGCTGCCACAACAGCACATTTGTTGATTGCTGTTGCAGAAAGACAAACACAGTGCAAATGAGAAAAGAATGTCAGGAAATGCTGACTAGTGTCTTGCTTCAGGGAAAGGTTGAGCTCAGACATTTCCTGGATCAGGGGCAGATTTGGAGGTTGCTGTTGCTGAAAGACAAAAACACTGCAAAATGAGAAAAGGAAATGGTAACTAGTGTCTTGCTTCAGGGAAAAGTTGAGCTCAGAAATTTCTTGGGTCAGGGGGAAAATGCTATCCAATGACCGCAGTAAGGAGTCTGAAAATTCTGTGAATTCTCAGGAATACTGCCTGCTCCTTTGCTTGCACGAGTCACGACTGTAAGTCAAAGTTATGGGCTGTGCCAGGGTACTAACTTGGTGGCCACGAGGTTGTTCTGTCTCAAGAGGGACATACTTGCAAATAGGGGAAGTAAAGGGACATGACTCATATTTATCTGGTAAAGAGAAAACACTGTCACAACAGGGTAAAAGTAGGACAGGGACAGACAGACAACACGCCAGCTCAGGACTATGTCCAAGAGATTTTGCCGAAAAGGGGGAAAGATTGCAGACTCCGCGTTGAAGCTCAACAGGGAGTGGAGAAACACTCACGACAGGCCGTAGCCTCATTAAATCCAATAAAGGGGTGGGGAAATGCTTTCACGGGCAACAAGTACCTCATTCGATCCCTTCGACATCTTGAAAACATATTAAAGTCAGGAAAGGATTGGATAGTCGCCAATCCTGTCCAGAGGGAAAGGGTAGGGCCAACCAGAGTAGGAACGACGAAACAATCGATCGCTCACACCCCCAACCCACATTCCCAGTCCCTAACTTCTTCGCACAACCCGCACCACCACCCCTCAATCTCTTCACAGATCCCAAACCCCACTCATACCAATCGATCGCTCACAGCCCGTTCCTTGAAAAATCTCACGTCAGCGCAGCCTCACCCCATACTCCTGATCTCCCCAAGCACAAGCAATACCCCCCCCCCCCCACACACACACACACTGCAACCACTTCCATATACCCCCACCCACCCTATCATACGTCCCCCCTAACCCCAGCCACGTTCCTTCCGTCATCATTTATCCTTCCTTCCTTATTATCAATTAATACTCATTTCTATTAGCGCTATTAGTCAGCATTATTATCTAGCGATTACTTATTATTATTTATTAAACATTATCGAATACGTATTTATCAGCCTGATATTTTACTTCTCTCTCCTCCCCTCTTCCTCCCCCCCCCCCGCTTCATCCCATTCTACCAATCGTTGCTCGCCCCCCACCTTTCCTCCCCCCCCACGCCCCTTCACTCGCCACCCTACTCCTCGTCCAAAATCACTCGCCCTTCAAGTTACTCCTCACCGACCAACCGATCGCCCCCCACTCGCGCAACCTCTAATCTCCTGAAGCAAACCTTCGTCTCCCAACCGCTGCTCGCCCAGATCAGACCTTACTCCCACACCCCTGCCGCCCTCCTCGTCGCACATCATCGAAAGAACTACCATTCCCCTCCATAGTTAACTACAATCCTTTTCCCTCGTATAATTGCCATTACTCGTTCCTCCTTTCGCTCCATCACTCCCACTACTAGCAAAACAAGAGGAAAAAAATCACCAAATACTGACACTTTCCTTTTTTTTTTTTTTTTTTTTTTTTTTTTTTTTTGAAAACAGAACCTTATGGTCCTGGCTCCTTTTCCATTCTGGGGAGCATCAGTCCGGTTCCTATTCCCCCGGCAAGTCCAAGATAGTACAAATGTTACTCACTCACACTCCTCCCCCTTATGGTGTGGAGGCCCAGAAGACGGCATTCATTACTTCCTTGAAGAAGGATGTACCGATCTTCACCCCAGCCTAAGTTAGCCTGTTCTAGTAGCTGCTGCTCGACTCTACTGCAATTATCTGGTCTCTTTTCTGGCTGATCCTCTCTATCAACTGGGCCTGTGACGTGTCTGTGTTTTCTCTACGACAGTGGGTGTGTCGGACTCCCTTGCTCTACTTCTACAGACCTTGGGCGCAGTTTAACGTGAGGGTGACCCTTGAAGCTAAAACCCTGTACCCTAGCTTAGCTGCGTTCTGCTGATAGGACTTTTCCTGATGGTTGTATCCTAGCTGTGCCTACTGTTGGTGTGTGGTCTGCTTGAATTCTATAGTCTATTCTCTGTTGGGGGTAGGAGGTGGGTTGGTGGGGATGGGTGTTTTAAGTCGGTGGCGGTTGCGGGGTAGCTGCAGAGCGCGGGAGTGGGGGGGGAGGGGGGATGCGTGAGTCAGTATGTGTTTGTTCAGGCTTGGGAGCTGGGGAGGGGGGAGTGGGAGAATATGTGTAGCAGGGGAGGTGGCTATGAGGTTGCTGCTGCGAAGGTGGATGAGCGGTATGAGGTCGATTGGATAACGGTGATGGCTGAGATAAAGTTGATGGTGGGTATGTTGGTATTATTGTTATGTATCTCTAATTTTTGGGGGTGGGTCTGCCTTTTTTATTGGGTCGAGCTGTCCTTTTCCCCTTTCATTCCCCTTTTTTTT